CTTATGACTTAGGAAACACCTTGCAGCCTCTGGAATGAACATTTACAGAAATGAATTTAAAATTTGCTTTCTATGCCTGACATTCACTTCACTGAGAAGTCTGTGGCCCGTCAAACTCAATTGCTTAAATGTCTGTGGGAAACCAGTAGCGGTATGTGAATGTGGTCCCAGCAAATTCATTTTAAGCAACAACCACCTAAGGTGAGAGCAAAGCTACTAATTTATTACTTCAAAATGTAGTTTCACCCCAGCCCCAAAAAAGTGCATCTTAAGGAGCTGATTCACTCTGTCCTTATTCTGAGCTCATCTGTGCTGCTTCTGCTGTCGGTAACCTAATTGCTGCATTTCATTTGCACTTGCATGTGTGTCTCCAAGAACCGGCACGTCAAATATAGGATACCCTGCTGTAATCCATATTTGGGAAGAACTGCCAGAAATTCTTTGGGCAGTTAGAGGTTGTATTGGGAAAAGGGGGAGGAGGCCTGGTCCTCACTTGACTGCTGAAGGTTAACATTGCCCAGTCCCTTTCCTCGYGTTTGTTTGGCAATATTAGAGCCCAGAACAGGGCTGCCTGGGCAAAMTTGTTTGTATATTTATTTATTCATTGCTTGGATAAGAAGATGGTGACAACTACTCTTGGGCCCAGAATGAAAGAATCCATACAGGCCAGCCATACCTTGACTCCCTTGTGGAGGCCAGGCTTGAAAGCAGCCCTGCCATCCCTGCGGTGTGACTGTGCCGTTGCTGACGGAGAGTGGTGACAGAGGGGACTCTCTGGGGCACAGCAGCTCCGTGTGTCTTTCTGCAGGTCCGTCTCTCCTAGGGGGCTGCAGCAGCTCCAGCAGCTCCTGGGGAGCTCCAGCAGCCTGCAGTGCTCAGTGCTGCTGTGGAGCCAAATATCCTGATTTCTCCACTTTCCCTATTCCCCCTTCTTCGGCCATTTGCAGTCCTATCAGGAATGTTCTGATTATTCCTATAGACATTTGATCCTTTTATTTTTCCTGCTTTTTTGGATCTTCCTAGTACTTAGTCTCAGTGGTCTTTTGTGGAAGTGTTCAAGGTGAGATAGCATAGTCTGGCATTATTTGCTTGCTCTCTTCTAACAATCTTCAGTGTCATCAGCACTGAGTTTAGTTGAGTGCTGTCTTGCTCACATATTCTGAAAGAGGAAACAACTTGCTTCCTTTGCATACTTTATTTTCAGCCATTACTTTTAAGTAACCCCMTCAGGTTCTCCCTGATTTGTCTTTTAGCTTTTAGCTTGCTAAATTGTCCCACTATGATTTTTTGAGAGAGGGGAAGGACTGCAGGCATGAGCTTGTCGTGATTCCTTGCTTTGTTGGTTTTGGCATTCTGTGTATTTTTAAATATAACTTTTCCCTTTATAGGAATAAATATTTTGGTTTTAAGAGCTTGGTGAATGCAGATTTTCATGCTTTCCTATCTTAGACTCAGCTGCTGATTAATAAATGGCCTTAGAGGAAGACAGATTTCAGACACCAGTTAGAGGAGGGAATGCTGGTTTGAAGTGTACTGAAAAAAAGACTTGTGTTATCTGCTGTGTGTCTGTTCTGTTCTGGAAAATTCAGGATTTTCAGATACTAAGCTAACCCTACCAGGTAAGACTCTCAAGAAATGAGGGACAAATTCAGAAACGTTCTTCCATGTTCACTTTCCACACACCCAGCATATGGTCTTCATAATGCTGGTGGTTAAAGATTGAGTGCCTATTGATTGAGGGCTGAATTAATAAATAATATTTATTTAGCTCACAGCTGTAAGATTGTCCATCCATCCATCTGGCACAGAGCAATAAATAAAAAATCTGTCTGAAATGAACAGGGGTTCACTGGCTGAAGTAAATATGCTCCCATTATGGTACGATAGCCTAGACTGCCTTGACAGTGGATTCCAAGGATCCTAAGTCTGTCATCAGTGCAAACAGCTATCCATCAAATACTGCCTACTTCTTATGTCTGGAAGACCAAACCATGGGAGGCTTTGAGAAAAGAGTGGTAGAGGGGGACTATCTGCTTTGATGCATGTGGCATTAGGCTGGGACACAGAGAGATGTCTGCTCTCCTGTGGTCTCGAAAATCAGCAAAACTCCATCTGTGAACATGTTTAGATTCTACAGGACTGAAATAAGGTGGAGAAAATCCTCATTTTTCAGCCTTATTCTCCAGCAGAGATGCTACACCCCTGATGTACCCATAGAGAAGAGTTTTAAAGTTTGGGCCACTGCTTGCCATAAACCAACAACAGTTTATTAACAAGGCCTGGGCTAGTGCTTGCATAGAATCTTTCCAAGGAAACCCAGCTATGAATATGTATTAATAAGCTGCTGACTTATTCATTGCGTATTTCTCMCAGCAAGGCTGTATCCTAAGGGAAACACATGCTCAGAGCTGGACACGTGCCAATTGCAAGGCTAGCATTAATCCTGCCTCCGTGCTGCCTGGTGTGGCTGTGGGTGCTGAGATGGCATCGKCCCCTCTCGGCTGACGTCCCCCAAGTGATCTTAAAATGTCCCTGCAGTTTCTCACATGGTTAAAGGTCCTTGTTCTGGTGATTCATCATATTCTGATTTCACTCTTTTATGGCCCTTCTTAAGMATATTGCTGGGAGCCAGTACGTTACCTCTCTCCCCCTTCCCAGCTTGCAGAGTCCCATGGGATGGGAGATTATGTGGAGGGTGGGAGGACAGGCACTTCCTGTGCGTGGACAGGATGATGCAAGGTCAGGAGAAGGGGGCCTGTGAAAGTCAGAAAGAGGGAACAGAGATAAGCATCGGATTGGGTATAGGAAAGAGAGGCATCAGCTGGCAATGGAAAGGTTTTCTTTGGGCTGAACAACTGTTCCTCAAGATGTAGTTCCTGCAGGAACCCTTTGTGGAGGTGGTTAATAGTGCGCTCTGCCTCCCTGGATCTCACCTCCTAAAAAGACTTTCAAGGCATGTTACGGTTCTGACTTTGATGGACAGAAGATGGGATGCTCAGGGTGCAGGTTTTGCTAACCTTTCCCTGCTCAGCTGGCCTCACCTCACAGGTGGCCTCCCTGGGTARAGAAGTGCTAGGGGCGGCAGGCGGGAGCGTTTCCATTGCCACGGGCAGGGCTGCAGATTTCTGGCCAGCTTTGGACATTCTTCCTTGGGAATGCAAAGACAGGCAGAGGAGCTGCAGGGGGTTTCTCTTTGYGGACTGGCCAGTCAATCAATCATTCTCTGTGTTTAGTATTTATCCCCTTGGCCAAGCTCTCCCCTCGTTGCTGCCACTCTGGGCGAGGGGGATTTCTGTGRTCTCTGCACAGCTGAGGCTGGCGGGCAGTGCGAGCAGCGCCAGCAGCTCATTCTCAGCCACACGGGAGGCGAAACGCCAACAGGAGCTGAAGTTAGAACTTTATTAGGACAAACCTAGGAAAAATTGACCACAATCTCACATTAACAGCACACAAGTCTTTTTCAGGATTAAAAAATGCATGTATGAAAAATACCTTAAAACCAAACAAAAGAAAACATTATTCTGCTCTGTGAGTGGTGATGTGTACAGGGAACTGTACCAAATCTAAGAAGCGTTCACAGTCCCTTTCAAGAGTCCCTATGAGAGGGAATGGCTCGGCCCTCTCATGAGCTAGTCCCAGGCCACGTGCTCACACAGTCCAGCGGTGGGAAGCGGTGGCCCAGTTGTGAAAGGGCAGTGCGGGGTAAACAGAAGGGAGCAGTGTGGATCTGGTAGCGTATCTCTGTAAAAGATGATGTCAGCTCCACGGTGAGGAAACATATCTGGAGCGGGAGCTGCCGGCAGGCCTCATCCACYGGACTCGCTGTGCAGTGGGGACCTCCAAGAGCTGCTCTGCATGGCTGCGGTGAGGCCCATGGCTGGTTCCTTAGGCCTSTGCGCTGGGGATGCAGTGCACCCAGTGGCAGAACCAGGACCCATCTCAAGGACAAACATCATGGCTTGTACTGGCTGACAGGCTTGAGGACAGCTGAGAGCTGAATGTCATGTGGGGCCTGGAGAGAACTCTTGTTCCTTGCAAATGATGCTGAAGTGTTTTGGCAGGGCAATGAGAAGACACAGCCTGTATCCCTTCTGCAGATAACCAGAAGATGTTTTCTTCTCCCAAGCTGGCAGCTGGTAGCACCGTTTCAGCAGCATTCAGGTTGTTTGAAAGATGCAATTTAAAAGGAGGAAAAATCATTTTGTTTCCACATGATTATTCCTCCTTTTTTGTTGCAAGTAGAATATATCTTCTCACAGGAAAATCTCTATTTCTATTAATATATGTCTTGCTTAGCATTGATGATATAAATGTCATGAGGAAATTCCACAGCCTTCATCAGCTGGTCACCTAACCAATATCCCAGAACTCCTGGGGCCCATCAGCTTTTGTGAAGTAGGAATGAGAAAGGAATTTCAAAGTTGGACACAAGGCAGTAGTGTTTGGGGGCTCATGGACTATTCTTACCTATGGGAATATACACATATGGGTTATATACACAATGTCAAAAATTCAAGTAGGGTTTACTATATTGGTAAACTGCTATAAAATAAGTGGACTCAAAAAGAGAAAGGGAGGCTTACAAAGAGAACAAAGCATAAGAGAAAATATTTCTTTTAGAAAGCCTACCAATGTGTTTCTGTTCCCTACAGGTGAGAGAAGCATCAGCTTTGTAAAATTGCCAAGCCAATGCAGCAAATGTTAAATTGGCACCAAACGCAACGCACCAGATGCGGGTGGGCTGAGGTCCAGGCTGTTGAATATAGTGTCTCAGWGGATGACTAACCTTATGCTTGAGAGAGTCTACTCGCCAGTCCTACCAGCTAAGGAGAGAAAGCCCCCAATCCCCATGAGTCCCATGAGATGTGAACATGGCCCTGCTTGACCATATTTTCATCAGGATGGGTGCCTCTCTTCAGCCTTCAGGTGTGTGTCCGCCAGTGGCTGTCTCTATTTTAAGATGTGGGGGGCACTGCCTGCAACGTGACAATGATGTTCACTGAAAAGGAGCACGAGAGTCTTGAAAGAGAGAGAGGTTAATGGCGAGAGTCTGGAGTCCGTCTTGTGGAAGTTTGTTAAGYGCCGAGACTGTTTCTCATCCCTCCTGGAGACCGGTCACACAGACAGATCATCCGACCTGGCCTTACTGCTGGCCCGGCTGGTCTTGCTCAGTCGGCGCTTCTCGTTGAAGTAGCTCTCGGGGAAGGCGGGCGCTGCACATTCRTTGGCCACCTCTGGGCTCTCCGCGTAGCTGGACTTAATGAAGGGCCCCTCACTGGCGGCGTCCTCCTGACCATGGACCCTCTCGGTGGCGAAGTTGGCGGTGTTCTGCTGGGAAGCCACCTTATTGCTGAAGGGACTGATGAACTTCCCATTGGGACTTGCCAAGCACTGATTAAAATCTGGAGGCGGGGTGTACATCTGGGCCCTCTCTACTTGTGGGGCAGACTCCAGTCTGCCGGGGGCTGTGCTGGGACTGGATTTGTAAGCCCGAGAGCATCTCTCTTTGGCTTTTTTCCAGCCCAAGTGGTACAGCTCGGCCAGGCTGAGGAACAGAGAGAGCACTGCCACCGCCAGCATGAAGACGATGAACACGTTCTTCTCAGTGGGCCGCGAAACGTAGCAGTTGACTGGATGGGGGCAAGGGGCTCGTTGGCAGATGTAAAGGGTCTCCAAGAAGATCCCGTACAAGATATACTGTCCCACAATGAAGGCCACCTCCATGGCAGTGCGAATCAAAATGCTGTAGACGTAGGTGTTCAGCAAACTGCCCCTAAGTATAATTTTGCCTCCTGATTCATCCCAGCAAGAGAGCTCAGCCTTTTCTGCCACAGAGCACTTCTGCTGGTAGTATGTGTCACCGCTGTTTTTCATCTCCCGGGCCTCTATTTCTGCTTCCTTCATCTTCTTCTTCTCTTCCATGCGCACTGTGTGCATCGCGTGGCCCATGTATACCAGAGATGGAGTGGAGACAAAGATGATCTGGAGGACCCAAAACCGGACGTGGGAGATGGGGAAAGCCTTGTCATAGCAGACGTTCTCACAACCAGGCTGCTGGGTATCGCACATGAAGTCGGACTGCTCGTCCCCCCATGAGGACTCGGCTGCTGTACCAAGCACCAGCATCCGGAAGATGAAGAGGACRGTCAGCCAGACTTTGCCCACCACTGTGGAGTGTTTGTGAACCTCCTCGAGGAACTCTCCCAGGAAACTCCAGTCCCCCATTTTTGCTCACCTGGAAGGGTGAGAAGCCTTGAAGGGAAAATCAGACACRGCCTATGTAGGAGAAAAAAGGACAGAAAAGAGAGAATGGTTCTAAGAAAAGTTAGGAAATTATTGTACCACGAGTCTCTGGAGTAAAATGGCTTACTATGTGTCAAAGAAATTGTGAGGGTTTTTTTTTTTTTTTAACCAGAAATAAATGAGTTTTGGTTTGCTGAAAACTAGTTTCACAACCGTCAAAAACACTTTTTTTTTTTGTTCAGTTAATGAAGCAAAAAATGTCTTTTTTGCACCCTCCATCTACAACCTATTAAACGGGCTGATAAAATTTTTGAGGATGAACCAGATTTTCTTCTTGGTTCAGGAAATCCTTTCACTGTGGTCAGCATATTGCATCCTCAGTGGACCGTGCAGTTAAACCAATATTCATCTGCCTGCAAACTGCACTCTGGGGAGTCCTTAAACGGACCGATCCTCTGGGAGATAAGACTGGAGTCTACAGGTTGGGCAGAGCAGTGCCTTGGGCTTTTTATATGTCTGCAGCGCCCATTGACTTTGAGTGGTGTTATCTGCACAGACATATGGGACGTGAAGTGCCCACAGCATTAGGCTTAATTTTTGAACTTGGTGCTACCATTAAAAGAAATGCATAGAGAGCCTTCCTGCTGCCCACCCACCCCTCATCCATAGTTTTCGTTTGGTTTTGTGGTGTTGCTTGGTCCAAGGGCTTCAGTCAAGTTGCAAACACTTTGGGGAGTAGCAAAGGCTTAAGTGAGCTGGGCCCATCTTGTAAACCTAACTCTGCTGCCATCCCTGTCTCACYGAAGAAGCAACTGCTGTAAAATGTAAACAGTGGGTTTTGCTCCCTCCCCTTTTCTTGAGCTCTGAAATAAAACTCTCARTTCAATTGCACAAGCAAACAAACAATCAGAAAAAACACCCTTGAAATGCCTCTCAAGAAATGCCTTCAAAGGACTAACAGCTGCTGGGAACTGCTGTTCGGGAGGTGGTCTGAGGGGGTGGGCTGGTAGCGAGACTGCAATTTCAGGATGCAGCAGAGCCTGCTTCCATTTTGTTTCTGACTCTGACAGATTGCTCCTGGCCGAGTCACTTAACCCTCTGGATAAGAAGAGACTGATGGCTTTAATCCATCCTTCGTGTGGCTCTGTGGGAGTGCATGAGAGATCATTTGATTCAGTTACACTCACCTTACTTAGCTTCCCGGGGCACTGTGAGGCTCTCCCTGGTGCACGAACCAAGGGCTAGGTGCTATCAAGTGCAAAGTATTACCTTGGAGATAATGCGCTCCCACAGCAACTCTTTTTGAAAATGCTCTCTTAATAAATAAATGAAAAGCTTAATAATTGTCAAAATGAAATATCAAAAGCCACCAGACAAAGTAAATCCCCAAGCTGTAGGGACCAGAAGTGTTAACTCTCCTTCTTTATTGTCCCTTGTCTTGTCTTTAAGAGCCAATTGTTTTTATTGTGTGAAGAACGGCTGTGGAGAGCAAACACTGCTAAATGCTGAAAATTTACTGCAGTAATATTGAGATTTCCTGTGTGCAGAAGCTGGAAAAGACAGAGATACAGTTGTTGTGGGAACAAACCTCYCCTCCCTGCCAGTTATGTAACTGATACAATTTAATATAGCAGTGCGCACAATTTATACCATCAAAAATTGAATCCTTAGGCTCCTGTTGCTACTGACTGCTGCTCTGATGAAAGCCAAGGATTCCCCCCAGGTAAGGAGACAGGAGATGATCGCTTGCTTCCTCCCCTGCATGTTGGGATCTGTGTGAGAATGGAGAAAGGGCATACCAGGAAGCAAAACCTTGAATATGGCTCTTTTCTGGCAGGAATGCTGCAATAATGCTCATGTAGATCCCAGTTTCTGCTTGGAGTTATATAGAAGCTGTTTTATCTACTGCCAGTCCAGAACCAGAGAAGCAGCAACATGGAAAGTTATTTAATCATTCTGCACAATCATCTAATCTTTCAGACTCTCCCTTTATCTGCACTGGTAAAAATGGTGAGCGAGGAGGTCTGTCCTGTCTTCTGAACTTCCCAGCTTTGGTGTAGTTACTACACTCTGGATAAACTAGCATGATGATTTCTCCTGTGAGCACCTGGAGCAGCCAAAGAATTAAATATAGGAAGATAGATCAGCAATGAGAAATATGTAAAGACAGTCACCTGTACTGCGCTACTGAAATCAATATCTATTTCCTTGCAGACTGCTGTCACGGCAGCCATGTACCTATCTAGTGTTGCTGTACTGGTTTGTCCAATGAGCTGGACACCTGCTACACATGTGGAATATTCCACCTGTGGCAACATGATCAATCTCTCCATTTTTCTATGTGAGTGCCTGTTGTTTGCAGGTGTGTCCCTGTGGCTCCTGCTATTGCGAGTTGACTAGTTGCCTTTTCTTGATTCAGTTTGCTCATTAGGGTGAAAACGAACAACATTCTCCCTTCTTGCAGCAAGACTGAGTTTTCTGTGCTGCCATGTGTGTTTGGAACTGCAGACCAAGCTTGCCTTCACATGGGTTTTACCCAATGCAGGAACCATTTGGGGTGTTACTGTGGCTYGTTTTATTCAGGGCAGGCTGTTACGCTGGGCACATGCAGGTGATAAAACTGAGGGGCAAAGAACATGAAGCTCGCTTCAGACTGACAGCTGCAGGGCTTAGACTGAGAGTCCTTCCCTCTGCTCTTTCCTGGTGGCTGCTCCCATGCACAGGCTGATTAAATGAAGAGCTGCTGTCTGAGAAGCAAGTGCTGCCCACAGAGCCAAATATTTCCTCCTGTGCCTGCTTACAGCCCAACAGAGAGCCAGGTGCTGCTGCGAGGAGGGAGGTGGAAAGGGAGGATGGGTTTCTGATACCAGGAGAGGGTTGTTTCCCTCTCAGTGCTATATACATGGCTTAGCTCTTCTTTAGTTATTAGTGAGTTATTCTGCCAGTGCTAATCTAAGAGCTTCCTAAAGAAACAGAGGAAAGCATCTAGCTGTTGCCAGCAAGCAAAGAAGCATGGTTATCACCTCTTGACAGCTTTCCCTGCCTCCGCAGGACTTTCTCTGGCTTAACCTTTCTCCTCAAGGCTTTCCTATTCTTGGGCATTTTCCATAGAGCTCCTTTTCCTCTTTCACAGACCACTGTGATCCCCATATGGTTTTACCTCCCAGCATATGAGCAGCTGTGGCCTTTTATTTTCCTCATTTGGACTTAATTGGATGAATCTGGTCTCACTCTGGTGTGACTCAGCAAAAAGAAAAAAAAGCTGTGGGTATCTTTTCAGGGTCTCAGCAGCTGACAGCAGAACATCTTGGCAGGAGGGTTGTGCATGCTCGTGCAGGTCCTTGGGCTGTGCCACTGCACCGCTGCACGTTGGCCTGGTAGCTTTCTGCTGGGTCAACAAAGAAGTTGTGCGCAGTCATGAGACCTTGGCAACAGGGAATGTGTATGTGACAAAGATCAGCTTTGCCCGGCACCAACCCAACAATGTGGCCATTCCAGCTTAATCATCACCTGGAACGCTATTAAAGCTGAGGGAAACCAAGTATCAAGGCCACAGACCAGGCGTGGAATCCACACAGCTCCTCACGGGCCTCATGACTGCAGAATTCCGAGATAAAAATACCCCTGCAGAGACAGCACCATCTAGTATGCCAGGCTGGCTTGCAAACACATTGCTGCTGCTTCCTATTGATTTTTTTTTTTCTTTGTGTTAACGTCTTGTGTGAGAAGAGAAGTTTTTGTAGCTCTCAGAGCAGTTTTGCCCTTCCTGTTTATGATGCCACATGGTCGGAATGACAGGCAGGCATTTCACATCACTGCTTCTTGCCCTGGCAGATGCACTGGTTCTGGTCACACTAGCCATGGCTTCAGGGAGCAGCTGGGAAATTCACACCAGAGAGGCAGGCAGSCTGATCCTGCCATGTGAATGTTTTCTCTACACAATTCTCTTCTCAGTATAAGCCTATTTCCCCAGGGGTTGCTAGGAATCTACTGGTTTCCCTCTCTATAGAAAGACAGGCGAGACTATCAGTAGAGATATAAATAGCTGAGCTCAACACTTCACAGTAACTTTTCCCACAAGGAAGGTGACAGGAGGACGCCATCTCTGCAGGATGTTTCTAAAATAAAGCCCAGAGCCTGGTTATAGCATTGTTTCTGCTCGCTCACTCTCAGCTCACCTCTTCCCCTTGGCAGGTCCCGGGCGCACCCAGARAGGCTCCCCAAGAAAAGGCCTGTTTGTTTGAGGGAAATGTGTTTCCCAAAGAAGAAGAAAGGAATTCAAAGCCATTAGAGTCTGGCCTTGAAGTCCTTGTGAACTTGATATTAATCAAGCTTCCCAACCAACTTTAAGCCTGCGGCATGAGATGTTAAGAACAGGGTCTCACAACAAACACAACCCCAGTGTATGGAGGCCATGTGGCAAGTCCACCACTTCTGAGACACCAAGGGTATAGGGAATCATGTCAGTTAAGCACTAAGCATGAAATATTTGACAGCCTGCTTTAGTTAGAGCATCTTGGCTTGTTGTGGTGAGGTCAGTGCCTAGGAGTTGCCTATGGCCTTCTCCAGCTGCCATGTCCTACCAGGACTCCCACTGGAGTGTGGGCACAAGAGATAGCTCCTGCAGGAGCACTGGAGCGCTTGGGTGGAGATCTTTTCCCTGGGGAAGCATTACAGCTGTCAGGTTACAGCCAGGCCTGAGTGGTCCCAGCACGGCAGACCTGGCTGTTCACACTTCGAGACACTTAGGAAGAACACTTCCAGCTCGGCCACTGGAGAGCACAGATAACACTTTTTTTTTTTTTTTTTTTAATTTCTTTTAAAAAAGCTGTGCCTTTCACTTAAAGATCTCTGCCCCTCTGTTAGCAGTAGCTCAGTCCCACAGCATCCAGCGGGGTGCAGGTACTGTCATCTCTGTCTTGCAAATGATGATCACTGGGGTATAGAAGGGGCAAAGTGTTTCTTCAAGGTCATGTGTCAGC